TCTGTATCCCAAAGAGATCATAAAAACAGGAAAAGGATCAACATGTATAAAAATATTTATAGCAGCCCTTTTTATGGTGGCAAAATATTGGAAATTGAGGGGATGCCTATCAATTGAGGAATGGCTGAATAAGCTTTGGTATATGAATGCAATAGAATACTATTGTGCAATAAGAAATGATGAACAGACAGATTTTAGAAAAACCAGGAAAGACTTGTATGAACTGATGCAAAGTGAAATGAACAGAACCAGGAAAACATTACACACAGTAACAGCCACACTGTATGATGATCAACAATGAAGAACTCAGCTCTTCTCAGCAACACAATGATCTAAGACAAGTACAAAGGACTCACGAATGAAAATGCTATCCATACCCAGATAAAGAATTGATGGACTCTGAATGCAGATTGAAGTATATTTTTTTCACTTTATTCTTTCTCATGTTTTTTCTCCTTTTGATCTGTTTCTTCTTTCAAAACTATGACTACTATGGAAATATTTTTACATGATAGTACATGTATAAAATATAACAAACTGCCTACCATTTTCAGAAGAGGGGAGGGTAGGGAAGGAGAAAATTTTGAAATTCAAAATCTTGTAAAAATGAATGCTAAAAATTTTTCTTGGTATGTAACTGGAGAAAATACTATTTAAAAAATAAAGACAATCTCAGCATAAAGATTATAGAAATTTTAAAAAGCTCACAGAGAAAAGTTGTTGAAGATTATAAGTATTATACCCTCATAAAATATTAAGAAAATGGAAAAATTGAATAAAGTGGAAAATGTTCAAAGAAAGCATGGCAAGTGACCCAATTAAGCAAAATCATTTAACAATGAAACTAGGAGGCCAAAAATTAGATTAAGAAGTGGAAATGATTCTTCAAGATGACTATAACAAACTATTTTCTCTGTCAATTACAATGGATCTATCACCACATGTGAACTATAACATCAGTCTCTGACATACTGCAGGAAGTAGAAATAGTGCCAAAAGGAAAAAAAGATGGGAAGAATAGCTGACTGGAGCAAATATAAACATAGGAGATCCATGCTAGAGGCAACACAATTTTGAGGATATTGAGGGATCAGTTCTCTATATCTTTAAAAGAGGAGGGGACACCAAAGGTTTGGGGGAAATCTCAGACTTTTTTTGGGGGGGGGCAAGGCAATCAGGGTTAAGTGACTTACCCAAGTTCACACTGCTAGTGAGTATTATGTGCCTAAGGCCAGATTTGAATTTAGGTCCTCCTGACTCCAGGTCCAGTGCTCTATCCACTGTGGCACCTCGATGCCTCCAGCTTATTTTACAGATGAGGAAACTAAGGCAAACAAGGCTAAGTGACTTGCCCAGAGTTACCAGCTAATCTGAGTCTAGATTTGAACTCAGGGTCCTGACTCCAGGCCCATCACTCTATCGACTTTGCATCTAGCCACCTCAATAATTGTTTAGCCACATGCTTATTTTCCTATTTCTACAAAATCTTTATAAAAATAAAAACATTTTGAGGGCATCCTTGATGAAGATATAAGAATAAGAACAGCATTTATATGGTGCTTTAAAGTTTGCAAAGTGCTGTACAAATATTATCTAATTTTATTCTCACAATAACCCTGGGAAGAAGGTGCTATTACTATTCCTGTTTTACCTAGGAGGAAACTGAGGTAAACAGACGTTAATTGATTTGTCCAGAGCCACACAGATCATAAGTATTTAAGGTTGGATTTGAACTTAGGTTTTCCTGACATAGACTTCTGTAAATGATATTTTATCAGTTCACATCTCTATATTCACTCAATTGACTGAAAGGTGCAAAGAAGACAAGCTCTCATTGTGCTCATTTGTTTGCTGACTATTTAAAAAGCCTGCATTTTAAAAAAATCCATCCTACAACAAATTTTCGCTGATGCATATGCAGGCGATGGCATATTACCAACAAAGATCTATGCAGGGGAAGCAGTGGTCAGATTGCTGTATGACCAGATGAGAAGGATGTAAAGAGAACAGAAGATAAGTGATGGAAAATCTGTGTGGTTCGTATCTATGACATCAAGAGATCTAGAGGAAACTCTCTTTTTCATGAACATACGAACAAAAATTGCACAGGCTGAGAAAATGTGCCTGTATTTACAAACTATGATTGGAGGGAGTACCCACATCAATGAATCACAGATCCATCAAGGTATCAGACAGTATTCTCATTTTAGGACAGTGGCTCTTTTTGGTCTCAGGACTCCTTTATACTTTTAAAAATTATTGAGGACCCCGAAGAGCTTTAGTTTATATGGGTTATATCTAGCAATATTAACTGTATTGAATTTAAAACCAACAAAATTTTAAAATATTTATTTGTTTAAATAATACTCATATTTTAATGTAGACATTTTAATGAAAAATTTATTTTCAAAAATTCATGAGCTGAGTGGCATTGTTTACATATTTTTCAAAATCTCTTTGATGTCTGGATTAATAGAAGATAGCTAGATTTTCATATCTACTTCTACATTCATTCAATCTGTTATGATTATGTTGTTTTGGTATATGAAAAGAAATCTGGCCTTAAAGCAATATGTAGCTGAAAAAGAAAAGAGTATTTCAATAGGCAAATATGTCTTAATATTATTGTGAAAATAGTTTTAAACTCAAGGACCTCCTGAAAAGTCTTGGGGATACCAGATATCTACACTTCAAGAATCACTGTTTTAGGAAAAAACTTTACACTTCTCTATTGCTCTTGTGACTTCACATTTTTGGCTTCTCTTTTTTTATTCTTTCCTTGAATTGTGTACTTCTGACTCATTCTCACCTGTGCTACATGAGAAAATTCAGTTCAATTTAATTCCACAAACATTGAGTATATACAGAATGCAAAATATTCTGGTAATGTCTAGTTTGATACAACAACCAGCACTGATATAGATCTATGGTTTGCAAAGCACTTTATGATGTCCTGAAAAAGATTATAATCTAGTTGTAAGGGGGGAATAGAAAGGTATGATGGAGGAGGCTGAGAAAAGAGAAGTACATAAATATTTACATGCAGAATATCATAAATGCCATGAGAGGTACAAAATGTTTAAGAAGTCCCATAGAAGGGAGAGATAATTTGTGGCTGCAGCTATCATGGAAGACTCATGGAGCAAGTAGTACTTGAACTGAACTAGATAGGATTTTAACACCTGAAACTTCCAAGAGAGTGTTGAGTATTCCAAATCAAGGGAATAGCAGGAAGAAAAGTATAGAGATTGAAAACTGTTTTGGGAACAATGAGAAGTCTGATTTAGTTTTATAATTCTGGAATGCACTTAGCATGTAATAGTGCATATATAATATTAGCTATCTTGAGGATGAACACTGTTTCCCACCTCATTTCCCTACTCCTCCCACGGCCTAAAAGGAGATTGTACAAAGTAGGTGGCATAGTGGATAGAGTATTGAGGTTGGAGTCAGGCAGACTCATCTTTCTGAATTCAAATCTGTTCTCAGACACTTACTAGCTGTGTGACCCTGGGCAAGTCACTTCACCCTGTTTGCCTCAGTTTCCTCATGTGTAAAATGAGCTGAAGAAGGAAATGGCAAATCACTACAGTATCTTTGCCAGGAAAACCCTAAATGGGGTCTCAAAGAGTCAGACACGACTGAACTAGGTGTTTAATAATTTTTCTTTAATTGCACATGAGGGGTGGCGGACATAAATTTAACTCAGGGCTATCCCATGAAGGTTCTTGAATGGCAGGTGAAAAGCTCAATTTCGAGTCTATTTCATGAGGGGTTTACAAAGAGGGACACAGCTGGAATTCTTGTTTTAGGAAGCTTGGTCCGGCAGAGTTGCACCAGGGTTATTAGGGGACAAATGGAATGAAGGCCCACGGAGACTGGTGACGCTCGAGTTAGGGAGGGTTCTAACTGGGGAGTGGCCCAGCTTCTTTATATGCATTTGCTGTTTAATGGGAAAGTAGGCCCCTGTCCTAGCAGGGCCACATCCTGGAAGACAAGGTTTGGAGGGGACTTTATGCTCAGAATGAGGTGACTGCAGAAGAAGCTAGTTCCAGGTAGGCGTCCTAATAAGCCTGATGTGGCCTAAGCTAAGATCCACGTTTGTCGCCATTGCTATTGGTAAAATTACTAAATAGCGCCATCGCATCTCCTCCCACTCCCCTACAGCCTAGTCTGGCTTCCACACGTAAACCAGCTATTTTTACAAGACACCGAGCAAGCAACCGCCCAACGATCGAAAGCGTCCTTATCGTAAGAGCCGCGCGCCGGGAGCCTTTTATGGACACACCTGGCGCACGCCGAACCAACCGCCCAACATTCCTCTCCAACCACCGTCGCGCTCGCTCCTCTCTGCCCCGCCCCCTCCGCTCTACTTTCGCCAATCCCAGAGGAGCTCTTTCTTACCCCGCCCTTCCCTCTCGCGTTTCAAAGCCTACTAACGCCACCGGCGCCCCACCGCGCGGCTGATGCCAAGAATTTATTTTTAGCTCGGAGGTGTCGATACCAACTCACCGCCCAGTCCTCCGACACCGCCTCCTTTCCGCTTGGCTTCCCCTAGCCCAATGGGAGAAGGAGTTTCCGTCGCGTCATTGCTCAAGTGGGCGGAAGGGTGCCCAATCAGCGCTCGGAAAGAAGAAGCGTAATTAATAAGCGGCGGAGGGGAGAAGGGGGGGTTGATGACGCAGCGAGTTTTAGTCGTGACTTTTTCTAGAAAATCTTAAGCAGCTTTTTTTCCCCCTTTTAAACCCAGCCCACCTTCCATTTGGTGGAAAGAGGAGCGGGCAGGGGAAGAACATTTGAGTTGGGGTGTGTGTATCTGTGTGTGTGGTGGTGGTGGAGGAAGCCTGACACTCGGGTCACGTAGGGGAGGGGCCTAACCGGGAGGGAGAGGGTGGTGTCACGTGTGTGTGTTGTGGGGGGAGGGGGGGTCGGTGTCTCGCGGTCGGTTCCGGGCGGTTGGGGGGAGAGAAGCGGGGGGAACTCAGGAGCGGGGGAGAGGGACCCAGCCCGAGCCCGCGCCAGCCCGCTCGCCGTCGCCGCCGCTTCTCCTCTGTATGTCGCTCTCCCCGGCCGCCGCTGCCGCCTCCAGCACCAGCAGGAGCCGCCGCCGCCGCGGTTGATGTGGTTTGGGCCGGGGCTGTGGAGTGTGAGAAGATGCCGCAGTCCAAGTCCCGGAAGATCGCTATCCTGGGGTACCGGTCCGTGGGTGAGTCAGTCACTGATCTTGCCCCCTCCCGCCTCCCGCTATCTTCCCCTCCCTGGGCCTTGTGTTTGGGGGGCGTTAGTGGGGGCTTCTCCTCTTGGCACTCCCGGCGCCCTCCTCCTGTCCCCGATCCCCCTGGAGGCGGTGTTGGCGGCCCCCGGGAAGTTTGCAGCCGCGGCGTGTCCATGTGCAGGGCTGGAGGGTGGGAGCCGAGGCCGCCTCCTGCCTCCACCCCGGGCGGGGGCTGCGGCGCGTGTTTCATAACCAGGCGGCCAAGGCAACCACCATTTTGAGGGGAGAGTGGCCGCGGCGGCTCCGGCTCGGGGGGAAGGGCTGGATCCAGCCCGTGTCTCAGGTCCCCTGCACTTCCTCCCCGTCCCACGGCTCGGGGAGCTGGGCAGTCCTGGGCTCCTTCCGCCTTTCCTTGCGTCTGGCCAGACAGGTGGCGGGGCCGCCCCCGGGTCGGCCTCGGGAGGCGGGGTGGGAGGAGGAAGAGGATGTGTCCGAGGAAGGGGTGGGTGTGGAAGAGGAAACTGCGGGGTGGGGGGGTGGGGGAGGGAGGCGCGTGGTTGGTTAGGGAGGGCTGGCGGAGGCACTCGGGCTCGAGTTGTCTTACTGTCGCTGGGGTTTCCACTCCTCACCCCCTCATCCCTCAGATGCTACTGAGTTTTGGTGTTTCCCAAAAGGAAGAAATCACTCTTATGTTCTACAGATCCCTCCTTCTGGACCCCACTCTAAAATCCTTTTATCCCTGGCAACTGCTAATAACTTTTTAGTTACAGAAACCCGCAGTATTTTAACAAAGAGCTTTGTAAGATGTTGAAGAAAGGGACGTATGTCCATTGTACGTTTCACAAATTAAGTGACCTGAGACTTTTCTTATATTAAATGGCCCTTGGCCCATTGTACTGGTTTAGAGTGTTTTTTTTGCAGGCCCCCAAAACCCTTGCTAGATTTAAAAAAAAAAATTAACCTGGGAGCTACTTGGATGCTACCAAATTTAAGATCTGTATAATGTAGAAACACTGAAATAGGAAAAAATTTGTTATCTAGAATAATTAAAAAGTAAAATCTATAATTTCTCGAATGACAATAAAAATTATTTTTTCCTTAGGCATACTTTAATAAGGTCAGATGATTGTAACCAGGTTGACTTGAAATATTTAGAAAGTTATTTTTAAAAAAAGAAGTTGACATACATTTGAATCTCATTCTGGAAGTTGCCATTTTTCTCAATGAAGCCACTTTGGGCTTAGGTGCTGAAGATCAGAAACCAAACACGTTTTCTACTTTCATGAAACTGATGTTTTAAAGTCAAAATTTTAGCATAGTTGTATAAAAAGTATTCTCTGGCTTAAAAAAACTTTACTTGAGCACAGAGTTTAAGTTCTTTAGTTTTCAACAGGAACATCGTCAGAAGAAAGCATGTAACTGGTTCATTTCATTGGATGAACTTATCTTGGAGACAACTTCATACTAATTTCTCTCCCCCTTTTTTTTACTCTCTCTCTCCATAGCTTTCTGGGTTCATTGGCTAAGATATACTCTTCATAGTTATTCATGTTTCTCATCTTTCAATGAACATGCCCCCCTCCAAAAAAAAAATCATGATATGTCATCGAGACTTATGAGGAATTGATTCTACATACCTCCACGTTTTCTTTCACTCCTACGAGTGGCTTTGAAGGTGATGCATTGCCTAATCATAGAAAAGAGACTTTTAAGTTGCGGGCTTAGTGAATCCCTAAGAAAATCTTTTAGTACTCTTACTATAGTTGAATCAGTCAATAAACATTTATTAAGCACCTACCAAGTGCAAGGTAGTGTGCTAAGCCCAGAAAATACAAAAGGAGTTCATGGTTTAATGGGAGGGATAATGTGCTGACAGCTATGTACAAACAGTCCACTCTGAATTCTATGAGAATTGGGGTTCTAAATTTCAGCAACCTGAAACACTTGGATACCTAAAACATCCTTCTCTGAACTTTTTCATTTTCATCTTCCCTTCTCTCCTGTTCTCTCTTTCCCCACCCCTTCCATCTGAGCAGTGATTCTCCATTCTTTAAGTTGTGTTACTATTACTTGTGAAGTGGCTTCTGGCTAACTCTCCGTGTTCCATTTAACAGTAAAGGTCCATAATTAGATGTCTAGTCTGTCTTGGGAACCACCTGAAGGTGACATCAGAGAATTATGAAGTTAGAAGAGAACTCAAGCTTTTCTGACCCAGCCAGCTCTTTATACCCTAAAGCAAATCAGTGCCTGAATGATGTGTTATTGATGCTTCCCTTCCCCCTCTTCAGAGCACAAAGTACTGGAGCTTCTACAATATCTCTCTGGAGGCCATTTCAGGGTTTTAGCATGCTGCTGCTTAAGTACTTTATATCCAAGGGTAACATCTTCACTTTCAATTTACATTAACTCTTTCCTCTAACTTAGTTTTTAGTGAATATGTAAAGCCTATTTCCATAAAAATCCAGATGGCTTATCATTCTCTATTCATGGCATTTGAGAGCCTACTGTTTTGTACAGTACAAGGCACTATGAAGAATACAATGGGAACTGTAAGACCTGTTTTCTGTCCCTTTTTATTTTTGTCATATATCTTGGGTCACCCTCCAGTTTCTATCTTTTTTCAAGTTTGATGACTGAAACTGGATTCACTGTTCTAATAAAGTTCTGACTAATCCCAGTCCTTGCATTCAACTAGCATGTTTACATCAGATGGACACTGCCATCCCAAGTAGCTATTCTTGACCGTGACCAGAAAAAAAAGTTATCACAACAAATGTAATTTTCATGTGGCAGTTATACCAAAAATAGTTAATGCTATGGACTTCTGGGAATTCACTGACATTATTTGCTAATGACTTTATACTACAGAATTAACAATAATATTTATTGCTATTCTGTAACACAATAGTACTAGCAATAACATAACATTGATTAGAAGTTTTGCTTTAGGGATACACGTCTCCTTTTTAAAGATCCCAGGTTAAACTAGGCAATTAATTTCCATATAGTTAGTAATGACTTTGCTTTAAGTTTTAAATATTATTTCTTAACAAATTGGTACTAATTATAAGGTACACAAGTAATTTAAACAATGCTTTTTTTCTCTCCAAAGCTAACAGTCATGTCTTAATTATTATATTTGATGTCTTTTTCTTAATCCTTATCTTTTTCTACTTAACTGTAGTATTTGATTCTCTTGGCCACCCTCTCCTAGATAGATACTCAGTCCTCTGGGGGTTTTTATGACATTGCTCTCACTTGGTTGTTAGTTGTCAAGAGTGCTGTCTTGAGAAAGTCTACTTTGCTGGATCATTAGCCACATCACATCCCCTAACTATGGGTATACCTCATGACTCTGTCTTGGGTTAACTTCTTTTTATATTCTCTGTGATCTTATCAGCTTCCATGGCTTCAACTATAATTTCTATGCTGATGGCTCCCATATTTATGTATTTAACATTGGTCTGTCTTCTGAGTTCCTGTTGGACATTTCAAAGTGATTTTCCTGTAGACATTTCAAACTCATTATGCCTAGAGTAGAATCCCATTTCACAACTTCCGTGTTTCTGTGTAAGGCGCTAATATCCTTCTAGTCATCCAGGTTTACAGTTTTTCATCCTTGAATCTTTACTCTCATACAGCCCGTGTATCCATTCATTTGCCAGGTCTTGTTATTTTTATCTCTAATATCTCTTAAATTTGTCCTTTTCTCCACCTTAACACCATAGTTCAGGCGTGCTACTAGAGCTTGCTGTTCCTACTGTCATGAGCCAAGATTTCATTTTAATGCCGTATGTGGTTACCACCATAATTCAGGCCATGATCATCTCTTGGCTTGTCTGTTGAGGTAATATCATCTCTGTCTTCCCCCAATCCATCCTCACGTAGCTGCCAAAGTGGTTTTTTTAAAGCATGGATCTGACCAAGTTCCCTCTTTATTCAGTAAATTCCAGTAGCTTCTTATTGCCCCTAGGATTAAATTCTTTTGTATAATATTTAAAGCCTTTCACAAAGTCTTAACCTATCTTTCCAGCCTTATTATATCATTACTATAAATAAGTCTTCTTGCTGGTCTTGACACAGTTACTGTCTCCCATCTCCACTTGGACTGTCTCCTTTGGCTGCAGTGTACTCCCTTTCTCTCTTCCCACATCTTAAAATTCCCTTTCATGCTTTTTCATACTTTTTTCATGTCAAGACTTTTCTGACCTCCACCCCTAATTGCTTTTCGTCCAGCCTCCCTAATGTTACGTATGTTTTATATACACTTAAATGAACATATTGACTCTCCAAATAGACTGTAAGTGCCTTGAGAGCAGGGACTGTTTCATTTCTGTCTTTGTATCCATAGTGCCTGGCAAGTAAGTAATAGGGACTTAATAAATGCTTGTTCATTGACATGTAAAGTTAGTTTTGAGGCCACCTAAAATTGTGGCTTTCAGACTGTGCTTAATTAGTAGTTGCCAAATTTACCAACTATGTTTTACTACACTGAAGTATTCTAGTATCCTTAAATAGTTGGCATCCTTCTAGGATGTTACAGAAAATGAGTAGGAGCAAAGCTTAACTCATTCTTCAGATTTGTGATCACCCCTCATGTAGGTACTCTAATCTCTGTGAAAATCATTTCCCAGCTTCCCTCTTTAATTCTTTCTTGTATTAAAGAAAAATAATTAAGTAAAACAAATGGATAAAGTGTATTTATATTTTTACATAACTCACCCGTAGAGGTTTCACCTATGTATTGGAAGCCATTGTCTGGTATTTTCAATCAGTTTAACTTGTAATATAGTTTATTAGAGGAAATAATTCACAGAAATGTGAAAGGGGATCAAATGTAGTGAAATCCTTTTATGCTTAATTCAGTTCCCTAAAAATTAAGTGCCTGCTATGCGCCAGGTACTGTGCTAAGAGCTGGGGATTTAAAAAAGCAGAAGACAGGCCCTGGCCTCAAAGGAGTTTATGATCTAATGAAAAATCACCCCTCTCTC